CTCCATCCTGTTGAAATTGTGCTGTTATACTTTTTCTTTTGTAAAGCATAGGAGGCCAAGAAAAGAATTTAGAGCCTGATTCTGTACCTCAGTGTTTAAGGAATGTAGCTAGGACTCCTGAATTCTAGCCCCCACTCCCATGGCTGTTCTAATGGAAAATGCTTAAGTAGTAAATAGAACAATCCTAAAATCTCTCCAAAGCCTTAACTGCTAAGCTAGATAGTGGTTATCATACTTGAGCATGCTCTCTCCTTTTGCTCCCCTGAACCATGCCTTGTTTTTTCAAAGTGAGTCAACAGGAGGGGTGGAAAGTGTTTGAATTCCCTCAGGCTGTGGACAGTCTACAACATAAATCTTCCACTTCCTGGGCAAGTCCTCTAATCACAAGGTTATGATACAAATGGGAACTACTTCCTCCTCTTCCAGCAGGTTCATTTTACAGCCTCATTTTTCAAACTAAAAATAGAGCAAAAGCCCTGAAGAGAAACATTATATAATAAAAATATATGTATCATTATTAATATATTATAGGTTTAGATTAAGAATGTTAGTAGTAACCGACATCACTAAACATACTACAGTTTTCCTATAGTAGATATATTTGTGCTATGTTTGTTGGAGGAGTTGTAAAAACAGAGAAAAAAAACTGTAAAACATGGTGAAAAGAAACACAGGTGACAAGCGACAGACCAAAATGATGAAAGGGAGATATGAAAACTTTTCTACTAAAAGCTGTAATTTTCCCAAGGACATAAAACCCATCAAAATGACACCTTCTAAGGCACTACGAAAATCAACACCCCCCTGCCATCCAATTCCCAGTCTCTCTCTGAAACTAAGACATTTAAATATACCAAATCAGAAAAAGTTTACTACAGCAACCCATGTATAAATATGTGGAATGAATTGGAGAAAAACACTGAAGAACTCAGCAAATCCAAGACAATCTGCTGCCAGTCTGTATGCCAAACTCCTCTCCCCCGGCAGTATAGGTGAGAATCCATCTTGCATGATTGCAGGTAGCCAGACAGACAATGGGATAACCATTTATTCTTGTGCTATAGCATGTAAAGCATAAGAGATCTTATGCTGTAGACCTGCTTTTTGCGTCTTCTGTCAGTAGACAACCTACCAAACACCTACAATCCAGGTAATAACTATGCCTCATAATTTCCAATTAAGGACCTACCTTAAAAGTGAGTTTTTGGAACTGCCACTCTGAGGCACCTCTCTCTCTTCATGCATTGCAAAGGGAGTCAGGACACCTAACTCCAGATTCTGGATTTAACTCCGGCAGCCTGGTGCCTGCGAATTACGCATTGTAGTGCCTTACTTGCAGGGATTTAACTCTTGCTGACTTTAGTCCTATTAAACTACTTTTCAGAAACTTAAATTCAATATGATTTGATTCACTTCCAATTTCAAAGAAAAACCTCTCTCAATCCTAGAAGTAATCTTCCGATTTGGAGGCTAGTATTTCTTTGCTTGTAGATTTGTATATGGAGAACAGGCAACATCTGGATTACAAGGGCAACTTCTATTTTAACTAATGAACACAAGGGAATGATCAAATCTTACCTTTAAAAGCAGCCAGGAGATGCAGGTGGTTGGAGTACTCATCTCAAGTAGCATGCC